TAACACCAAGGGGGCCGTGAGTTCATCTACTCATATGGTCCATTTAAAAAAAATTATCAAATATAATAGAAACATATCAGTGAAATAAAAAACGTGTGAGTTCGGGGGAGCCGGGCTCGTTTCAAGTAAACTTTTTGTTCTTTACGGCGTCCGCTGAGTTTCTCGATGGATCTTCTCAGCTGGTCGCTATTCCCATCTTGTGGTAGATTACGAGTATTAGCAAACATCCCCGTTCTGAATGAGTACTTCAGTGGGTTAATTCATCTTGGTTAAGTGGCGAACTCACTGAACCAAAAACCTTCCAAAAAAATGAACGGCCGTTTTCCAAAAAAAATCCTTGCTCATAAATTCTTACAAGACACCAGAATTTGCTTCCGATTATTTCAACCGTGCTTGTGTTCTTGAAGCTGCCTATCTCTATCAAACGTGTTTGTGATAAATTAATTTTATTTGTATGTTTGTGTGTGTAACGAAAGCGAACTTGTAAAAGTAACGAATTACGTTCGATTTTAAATTTCGTGAAAAATGAAATCCGGAACGAGGTGATCCGACAAGTTATAGACATAGCAGATGGAATTAGTAAGCTGAAGTGGCAATGGGCTGTTCATATTAGCCGGCCAATGATAATCGTTGGGGTAAATGCGTGCTTGAGTGGAGACCGCGAATTGACAAACGTAGTGCAGGACGCCCTCAGGCTCGATGGAGTGATGATCTGTGCAGGGTGGCTGGCTGGAGCTGGATGAGAGAACCCGAGGATCGTGCTCAGTGGCGCGTAATTGGAGAGGCCAGCAGTGGACTGCTATAGGCTGATGATGATAATGATGTTATTATAGTTGGCTTATTAGGTAGTTTGTTTATTAATTTTCTTGAATACCGTCTTAAACGATTGTTGACATGCGTTGGACTTATATTAGTTAACCAACTATTTTAACAAACAACAGGAGGAAACAGTCAACTCTAACCAATCTTAGCTAACTGGGCAGGCTTGCACCGATATAGGTACATTTAAACCTTAAGAATCAGTAAATGAACCAAATAAAACGATTCACATAGCTTCGATCCTCGCGATCTCCCCAAACAGTCGTCAATGTCGTCTTCAAATCAAATTGAAGCAAATTATTTGTCAAAAAAAAATCGGTTGTCTGTAAAGTCGGTTTACTGACGATAGTCGAACGTGACAACGTCATAAGAAAATACTGATGGAATGGTTCATTTTTCAAACGATTTTTTTGTTTGTTTTTTTATTGCCTTTGGTGGCAGACGAGCATACGGCCCACCTGATGGTAAGTGGTCACCGTAGCTCATGGACGTCAGCAATGCCAGGGGCAGAGCCAAGCCGCTGCCTACCATAAAGTACTCTCCGCAAGCCTCGTTTGAAGAAGGACATGTCATAGCTCTCGGAAAACACTAGCTGGTATTTGGGAGCCCCAGCCCAGGGGTGGGAGCAGTACTCCATGTGAGGAATATACGACGAAAGGAAAGATCTTCCACCGAGCGGGTGATGTTACTCGGTAGACCGACGGTCCGAATGCTGTTGTTCGGAACTTGTATATATGGGCTTTATTTTGAAAATGTCGTACGCGAGATTCAGGCATCTGTCAATTATCTTGCGTTGTATGATGGCTACCCGCCACACTCCACGCGAGGCCGGACCTGTGTTTTGTAAAGCAAAAGTCTTAGTCTAGGCGTGAAGTACCGCTTCGCTCTATTGAGGACTCCCAGCATTTTTGACACCAACTTGGCTTTGCCCTCCAAATGACTCCGAAATTGGACATCGCTCGAAATGTCGACCCTAATTATCCCAATATTCTTGGAAGGTTGTAGGAATACTCCTTGGAATTGCCGCGCCATGACAAAGGGGTGCTTTGCAGTGAACGCGCAAACCTGTCTTCAACAGGTTGCATTGACCCAAATTCAATTCACCCCATTCGGAGGCTCGCCCCAGAGAGTTTTCCATTTCAGACACAAGTTTTGATCGTCTCTCTTGCACCACGCTCCGCGAGAGACTCTGATGGCCGATATATCGCGCATCCCCCGTGCTGTCATCCACATAGCAATGCATGCCATCAATAGACAGCATGTCATTGATATATAAGATGAAAAGCGTAGGGGAGAGCACCGAACCTTGTGGAACGCCAGCGTTAATGGTCATGGTATCAGAGCATTCACCGTCTAGAATGACCGTGACGCTCCGCCCATCCAAAATGAAAACGGTGAAGGAATAACATCGTATAATAAAAATCAAACTCGCAAAAATTATAATTTGCGTAATCACTAGTGGTAGGACCTCTTGGGAGTCCGCACGGGTAGGTACCACCACTCCGCCTATTTCCGCCGTGAAGCAGTAATGCGTTTCGGTTCGAAGGGTGCGGGTAGCCGTTGTAACTATAATGAGACCTTAGAACTTATATCTCGAGGTGGGTGGCGCATTTACGTTGTAGATGTCTATGGGCTCCAGTAACCACTTAACACCAGGTGGGATGTAAGCTCGTCCATCCATCAATGAAAAAAAAAAAAGCTAGCGATNCGCAACGATGCAACGCAATAACTGCAACACGGTCTTCTTTAAGCGTCCACTCCATATTTAAAAATGAGTAAAATTCTAAAAGTATACATTTTTATTTTCATGAACAATTCGAAATTCGAATTCAATAAACTTTTTTGTGGCCAGCATTCTAAAAGAAAAGTTTTTACTGTGTGACAATACTTATGACCTGACTAGTTACACTGAGACCTTAGAACTTATATCTCGAGGTGGGTGGCGCATTCACGTTGAAGATGTCTATGGGCTCCACCTGTCAAAGGCCTTCGCGATACCAAGGCTCACAGCGAGAGCCTCACCCTTGCTCTCCGAGGCTTCAGCCCATCTGTGAGTAAGGTATACAAGAAGATCGCCATCTGAGCGACCGTGACGGAAGCCGTACTGTCGGTCGCTGATCAGCTGGCGATCCTCTATATACTTCAGGAGTTGTATGTTGATTATTCGCTCCATCACCTTGGAAAGCAAGGAAGTTATCGCGATAGGCCTATAACTCGATGGGTCCGACCGGTCACCCTTCTTGGGGATAGGGTGGACATAGGCAGTCTTCCATGAAGACGGAACCCTGTTAGTACTATACGAGAGGCGATACAAACGCGTTAGCGCAGGTGTCAACTCAGGGGTGCACGTTTTCAAAACCACTGCAGGAATGCAGTCTGGCCCTCTCGACTTATGGACGTCCAGGGCCCAGAGCTCCCGCCTGACTGCACACTGTGTAAAGCAGATCTCCGGCAAAGAGCTATCACACTGGAGGATGTTCGGTGGTGTGGCACCCCCGTCATCCATAGTCGAGTTCGAGGCGAAGAGTTTGACCAGAGGATCAGCCTTCTGTTTCGCACTATGGGCCAGACTGTCGGACTTGCGTAGTGATGGGAGACTAGACCTGCTGAATTTACCTTCTGCTTATCGGACTTGCGTAGTGATGGGAGACTAGAACTGCAGAAGTTACCTTCTGCAGCCTTAGCGAGCGACCAGAAAGCACGGTTCCCGGCGGAATATCTCTTCAGTCGCTCGCCAATTCTTTTCACTGAACTTCATACTTGACGAAAACATGTAAATGTATTATTGTATAGCAGCTGCCACGCGGATGCATCGCTCACTCAAGCAGGAGTGTTTACTGAAGCTAGTACGCGTCAAAATGTTAATACTTCCTCCCACGATGTGTGCCTTGAAACATAAGACTCAATTGCAAAATCGTATAATATAGAGGGTGACCTAAGATTCAAACCGGAACGTATGACTTCTTTGCGACAGAAATAGTGAAGACTTCTAATATTGCCTACTATCACAGTTGGCGTTGTTATATTAAAAAGTGGCACCCATAATACCTACCTCTTTTACACGTCCTTACGGATCCATCGGATCCAATAACCCTTACATTAGACGCCTTGAGCTCTAACACTAGGGGTAGAGACTCCGATAACCGTACACGTCGAATTCGGCAAAGAGTTCGACGTGCAACCTAAACATCAGCCCGTTGAGTTTCTCGCCGGATCTTCTCAGCGGGTCGCGATTCCGATCCGGTAGTAGATTCATTCGCGAAGCAGTAGCTACTTTTGAGTTTTTAGGTCTCCCTTAGAGGCGCTCAAGTAGCTGTTAGCAAATTCCGTCCTTTCGGGCTGATACATTGCTCGCCCACCTGTCCTTGTGAAACTGGAAATGTCTCCGGGCCACCAGTACTTCCACAATCATAAAAAAAACTTTCTTTTAATATCATAGCATCTGCGTAAAATTTCCTGCTGATTGTAAACAACCTTTACTGGTGGTAGGACCTCATGTAAGTCCGCACGGGTAGGTACCACCACCCTGCCTATTTCTGCCGTGAAGCAGTAATGCGTTGCGGATTGAAGGGTGGGGCAGCCGTTATAACTATACTGATACCTCAGAACTTATATCTCAAGGTGGGTGGCGCATGTATGTTGTAGACATCTACCACATAAATGCGCCACCCACTTAACCACTTAGTACCAGGTGGACTGTGAGCTCATTCACCTACATTTGACTCCAACACTCAATTAGAAATTAAATCCTAGATAGGTCGGGTTGGCAGAAGGCGTCTTAGACCCCGCGTTTCATCATTGCGACCGTAAGTTTGCAAAAGCACCACCGTGAAGTCCACCTAGACTATTTACTTAGAAACACTGCGTCGTTTTTTTGTTAATTCAACAACTTAAGCTTACTCATGATTTTTTAACGTTTAACATCTGTGAAAGTATTAGTTTTCTCATAGTTGTGCAACTATGAGAAAATTAAACAAAATAGTTAAACCTTTCTTCTTAGGCTCTTTTAAAAAGTTAATTAGTTTATTCAGGAAATTCATTAATATTCATTCATCATTTCATTAATAACATAATAATATCTGACTTCCAAAAAATTTAACTTTATTTCGGACTTGGTTACAAATACTCTGGCTGTATGGATTATGTTTCTTTTGCCTAATTTATCTATACTGTGACGCTGCGCCAGATATTTTGTTTCTTCAAACATCTTTTAACTATTTGTGTTCGTCTCAATTTATCTGTCTTCTTACATATAAAACAATACGAATAATCAATATCTTCACGAATTTTTATATGAATCAGTGTATGAGTTGAGATTGTAAATGTTACCTTGTGGTTAAATTAACAAAAAATGGCTCAGCGTTTCCCAGTAAGTGGTCCAGGTGGATCTCCCGGTGGTACTCCAGGAAATTTACCGCCCCAACAAAGATACGCAGGGCCGCAGCCGCCGTCTGCCTCGCCGCTACCACCCCGACCCTACCCAGGACCTAACTTTCCAGTGAGTGTCCCAGTCAAATGTCAAAACTTAGGTATGTGCAAAATTTGTTGCTCTATTTAAACAACTATTGTTTTACAATGGTTTACATACTGCAACAAACTTTGCACAGAAGCTTCGAAATAAGAAAAAAAGGTCACTGGTGCATGTTTTTGACATTCCAATGGCAACTATATTCTCTAAACAAAATACTGAGACTGGGTTTTCACCGTCCACGGGTAGGCAGCGACATTATTAGTAACGTAGTTTGTAGTACAATACTCAATAAATTATTCGATTATTTAATCACTATTGAAGTAATGTTCACTTTATTTTAAAATTACCCTATGTGGGTAATTTGTGGTAAAACCCACACCGTTTGATGTGACATTTAAATTTTGCTACAAAAATTTGATAACTTCAAGTACAGTAGATCCTCTATAAGTTAAAGACCAATGGAAATGTTAAATATTTTGAGTTATTGAGGTTTTACTTACAGAGGTTCGTTTATGAGCTTTGTTTAGGATTTATAGAGATAGCTAGGTTAAATGCAAATGTAACTTTGAAATGTTAATACATATGTACATACATACATTATTTTACGGTTAAAGGCTAAAAGTTAGGTTAAACTTTTACTAAAGTTTGTTTTATTCTATATAAGTTGTTTTAATTTATATTACTATGTATAAAGTTGTTTTTGTTATTTCATTTAATTCACTCTTTAAATTAATTTTATTTTCAATATTAAATAAAGAGGAGAAAATGTCATCCTCTGTGTTAAAGAATTGATCTGTAAAAATCATAAAGCGTTTATAGCTGGCCTTGCTTCGCTTATAGATATAATCACAGGTGGATCTTGTGGCTCGTCATTTAAATCATATCATCACTCTGAGCACCATGAATAATGGTATATTTTTTTTCTTATGTTCACATTCCCTACATGTACCCTAACATACAGGGAACCATTTCTGTTTGCACATTCATCTACAATGACTCATGACATGGACATAGGTAAGATTGAAGTTACAAAGGTCATCGTAGCTACAGCTTTGAGATACTGAGGTGTGACACCGAAATTATTAGTTTTAGTTATAGATGTTTCATATTTTAATTAGAAGAGGTTTAGGACTGAGGGGAAGGGAATACAAAATATTATGAATTAACAGAGGTTATTATGTTGTTGAGGTTTAAGCTATCAAAGTTCTATTGTATTTAACAAAATAAAATAAGTAAGTAAGTAAAAAAGTAAGTGTGCTCTATCATGCTGAAGTGTTGCTGAAGTGGGTTCATTCATTCAAAGAAAACGGCAGCTGAAGCACAACGAGAGTTCCAATAACTTTACAAAGACCTTGCTCTGAGCCAAATAATGTGAGGTGATTAGCTTCATCACTTCAAAGATTCAGGGATTTCAAGCTCACAACAGCCTACGTGAAGAAAAAACAAAAACTTTCAAAGATGCTGAACGGGAGGATCTTTCTCGAGAAGGATCCGTGCCAAATGGGATATCAGCTCGCTTGAGCTTTAGAAATTAGTCTCCAAGCCATTTCCAAATAATTGTATGGATTAGGAATGATTCAAAAACAAGTTACTTGGGTTTCTTATGAGTCGAAGTCAAGAGATCTTGTGTCCCTTATTCGCCTGTAATACAAATGGAAGAGTTTCCCTCATTGAATCGTGATGGATGATTTAAAATTGTAAAATTGTTGTTTAAAACTTAGTAAGGTCCCCTTATAGACTTGAAAGTTGTTTCAAGATTTATTTGTTATCCCCAGACTTCACTTAAATGATCTTCATAACATTAAATGTGCTCTTTTGACAATACGAATTATGTAGAAATGAAGATGATTATCATTATTATTGTGGGCATATCATTTAACTTCATATACAATTTTTTTTTCCTTTAATTATTTATATTTTATGCACAAAACAAAAGTTGTACACAGGCGGATTTGATGCCATAGGCATTCTCTTCCAGTCGACCATAGGGTGGTGCAGAGATAATGCATGGTAGGTGCATTAACAAAAGAATAACAAACAACAACAACAAAACAAAAAAAAAAAAGAACAAACTCAAAACAAAAATCTTCCTTAAAGTAACATCTCAGTATTATAGAATACACATAATGTTAAATATAAGTACTTTTCCATAAATAAAGTCAAGATTGTATGCATTGTCTGAAGTTCATATTACTAGTTCACTGAATACAGTTCTGAGACTAGTTATGATTGTATTTTATAAGTAGATATAGATTAATTCTGATTGATTTGAGCAACTTCATTGTAGTCTTCAATTTACTGGATGTGGTTTCACATTATGCGTCAGGTTGTGTTTCATGTAATTCCATTACCTATTTTCTTCCATTACAACAATAAGTCTATCCAGATTTTACTACAAGCAATTGAAAAAACTTAAATTCTTGGACCTGTTGTTTAAGTTATGTAGCTAGTTTGAGTAGTTGTGGTACTTGACTTAGGCCAGAATTACAGTCACCTTTTTTGTAGCGATTTTAATAACCTGTGACTCAAAATAATAGGTTGGGGAAAAAGTTTCTTCGCATGTTTTAAGAAAATTCACAACATTTCATAATATAATTTATTTACATTTAACTAAAGTATGTAGGTACCATTTTGTTCGATAACTTTTTGCCAACTTGTAGGTAGGGACATGATCCCATTGCTATAGAAATTTTGGGGCTTCTGATCAAAATACCGCGACAATTGGTTTTGGCCTAAAGAGTTCTGAAGAGACCGAAACAGGTGGAAATCGGAAGGTGCAAGGTCAAGACCATACGGCAGAAGCATTAACATCTCCAAGCTCTCTTAATTTTTGCTGAGTGGCTAAAGATGTGTGAGGTCTAGCGTTATCATGATAAAAAACCACAGCCCTTCTGTTGACGAATTCCGGCCGCTTTCTCTCTACTTCTTGCTTTAATCTCTTCAGTTGTTCGCAGTAGAGCTTAGAATCGATGGTCCTGCCTTGTGGTAACAACTCATAATGAATAATGCCCTTCCAATCCCACCACACAAAATGCATTACCTTGTTGCGAGCTACACCGTGTTTCGCCACAGTCTGTTAAGCCTGACCGGCCTTTGCCGAAATATCAAGCTTTTTCGTGTACCCAGTTTTTTTTCAAATGCGCCAAACCTGTTTTGTGGTCAATTCCCAGTTTTTCAGCTACGTCGTAACTACTGATAAGCCGATCTTGCTCCATTTTTTTTAAAAATGGCATCCATTTGATCTGTAATAGGGCGACCAGAGTGACGTGCATCTTTGACATCAAAAATTCCGGATTGAAAACGCTTAAACCAAATTTGTGCTACTCTGACAGACACTGCACTAGGTCCATAAACATCGCAATTTTTTTTACAAACTGCAATGCTAACAAGATCAAATTGTCAACAGGCACGCAGCGGATTCGGCGGCGGCGGCGTAGTGGCAGGAGGGGGCGCGCGAGCGGCGGGGGGTGCGGCCTATGGCGGCGGCCCCCGCCCCGCGCCGCCCTCGCCCTCCCCCGTGGCGCCCCCCTCCGCCGTCGCACAGAAGCGCGGGGGTGAGGTCCGCGCCCCGCACCCGCCGCCGCACAAGCCGCTGTACGACGCGTACTCGCAGCCGTCCGCCAAGCGCAAGAAGCGCCTCGCCGACAAGATCCTGCCGCAGAAGGTGCGGGACCTCGTGCCCGAGTCGCAGGCCTACATGGACCTGCTCGCGTTCGAACGCAAACTCGACGCCACCATAATGCGCAAACGTCTCGACATTCAAGAAGCCCTCAAACGCCCCATGAAACAGAAACGAAAACTTCGAATATTCATCTCCAACACGTTCTACCCCGGTTTGTATTTTCTATTTATTTATTTATTTGTTAGCGAATACCAAAGCCTCGCGCCGCTGCCGGCAGCACCACCGCGCTGAACTGATTGATAAATTGGCTTGTGGGCGGCGCAGGTCAGGGCGACAACGCGGTGCCGTCGTGGGAGCTGCGCGTGGAGGGCCGTCTGCTCGACGACTCCAAGAACGATCCGAACAAGGTTGGTGCGACGCGCTCGTGGCCCCGGACGCTCCTCGTGAATGGGTTTCATTAAACGTTCAGCACAGAATGTCCCGTTGCAGGTGAAGCGGAAGTTTTCGTCGTTCTTCAAGTCTCTGGTGATAGAACTCGATAAAGATCTGTACGGGCCCGACAACCACCTCGTGGAGTGGCACCGCACGGTGACCACGCAGGAGACGGACGGCTTCCAGGTGAAGCGGCCCGGCTACAAGAACGTGCGGTGCACCATCCTGCTGCTGCTGGACTACCAGCCGTTGCAGTTCAAGCTGGACCAGCGGCTGGCGCGTCNGTCGTTCTTCAAGTCTCTGGTGATAGAACTCGATAAAGATCTGTACGGGCCCGACAACCACCTCGTGGAGTGGCACCGCACGGTGACCACGCAGGAGACGGACGGCTTCCAGGTGAAGCGGCCCGGCTACAAGAACGTGCGGTGCACCATCCTGCTGCTGCTGGACTACCAGCCGTTGCAGTTCAAGCTGGACCAGCGGCTGGCGCGGCTGCTGGGCGTGCACACGCAGACGCGGCCCGTCATAGTGAACGCGCTGTGGCAGTACGTGAAGACGCACCGCCTGCAGGACCCGCACGAGCGCGAGTACATCGCCTGCGACCGCTACCTCGAGCAGATCTTCGGGGCGCCGCGCGTCAAGCTGGCCGAGGTGCCGGCGCGCCTGGGCGCCCTGCTGCACGCGCCCGACCCCATCGTCATCAACCACGTCATCGCCGTGGAGCCGCCGCACGACGCCAAGCAGACCGCCTGCTACGACATCGACGTCGAGGTGGACGACACGCTCAAGGCGCAGATGAACAACTTCCTGCTCAGCACCGCCAACCAGCAGGAGATCCAAGGCCTCGACTCCAAGATCCACGAGACTGTGAGTCCGACCCCCGCCCCCGCACCGTCCCCGCCCCCCCGCCCTCTCTGACTGGCGCCGTCGACTTGCAGGTGGACACCATCAACCAGTTGAAAACAAACCGCGAGTTCTTCTTGAGCTTCAGCAAGGATCCGCAGCAGTTCATCCAGAAGTGGCTCGTCAGTCAGTCCAGAGACCTCAAGGTCAGTGATCACATTAAATTATTAACGTAAGCTAAAAAAAATTATTCTCCACGTGAGCACCGTGACCTGGGTTGCAGAGCATGAGCGGCGGCGCCAGCGGCAACCCGGAGGAGGAGCGGCGCGCACAGTTCTACTGCGCGGGCTGGGCGGGCGAGGCGGCCGCGCGACACCTGCACGCGCGCCTGCTGGCCCGCCGCCGCGACCTCGACCTGGCGCTGCGCCCCGCGCTCCTTTAATTATACTCTTACCCGCCAACTCTGGACTTTCATTTCACTTAATAGCTCTTCAGTTCGTGCCAGACATAATTCTTTATTGTTTATAGCGAAAGTCATTAAACGCTTTCCTGATAATATTGAATGAAATGAAGTGATATAAGTAATGTAATAAGAATTACAAAGAAACTGTATCCTGCTTTAAATTAAAAACATCAATTATAAACTAGAGGTTCACAGACTTTTCTCATAGATCACTTTCAAAACTTAGATAGTTCCGGTGGACCCCTGCAGCTACATTTCTACCATATTCCTAAAATTCGACTAAAAATTTGAAGATTTTGATGGAGAATTTTCATACTTAGATGCACTACCTAAGAAAATCTGCGAATTTATTTGTTTAATAATTATTGATCATGCTGTAAGTGGATAACAGCATAGTCAAGCAGACAAAAAATGAAAACAAGCCCACGGCGCAAGTAACCCACAAATTCTCACTTATTTCATTTAGAAAACTCCCATAATATTAAAAAACAAAAGAAAAATAATATCTATAACGGAACGAAATTTCCGAACGTGCGATACCGCCCCCGCTGAGACAGAGCTCTCTGAGCGCGAAAACACGCCCTCAGCGCGCGCGACGACGACCAGTAAAATATTGCGAGTCTTAGATTAACTGTACGATTCTCAACTCATTTTGTATTTTATGTTAGTTATTGTGTCGCTTTTTATATTAAAACCTCATACCAAATCAGTGTAAACATTATTTCTATATCATCTTCGCCAACAGCCCGGAACAACGAACTCACAAAAGCCCCGCCAGTCGGACTTGTAGTGTTAAATATATTTTTTTGTTATATTTTTATCAAATATGGAATTTCTTTGTTCACCCACTTTGTCGTGTTTCAATAATAACTTGGATAATTTTCTAAAATTTATTTAACAATACTGCGTATGAGACGCAAACAATTGATTGAGAAGTTTTACAGCAGTAATGGAGGGAAAATGCAATGACACAGATTATACTGACAAGATAGATTATACAAACTCAACATACCACACCCCCAAAAACGAAGTTTTTTTTAAGGGATGTTATGACCTGGTAAGGCCTTTAAGTCATGTCTTATTTTAATTTGTATTCTTATTTTTACGAAAAATAATATGAAGTGAAATGAAATGAGGATGGTTAATTTGAGACATTAATCAACTGGGGTGAAATGAGATGATATGGGATGACATATAATCCCAGTAAAATGGTGGTCATTTACTGAGACTTTTTCAGTAGACTTTTTGGAGGATCCCGAGAAGCTACGTTCAGCGACTTGTTTCATTTTCCCACATTTTTGCATTTTCACAGATATTAAACAGTTCATAAACCACCGTTATTACACATTTAAACCTGAAGGAACACTAAATAGACAAAATAAAACAAATCACACAACCTCACTCCTCGCGTTCCCGCCAAAAAGTCCTAAAACGAAGTTTTTGATAAACATACAGAAAAATAATAGCAAATTGTAAGTTTTCATTCTGATAAACCCCAAGAACTTAACCAAACAAATTACTAGAACTTACAATATCAAACGTAACTCACATTCTAAAAAACAAATCAGAAAGGACAAATCAACCAATAATAATTAGCAATAAAAAATATGTAGGTGAATTTTATGAACATTAGGTCATTCTATGTATCATTAAACTTTTACATGAATAAATATTATTTCTTAAAAAACAACTTCTTTTACCAATCCATTATTATTGCCAATTAAATGTTAACTATTTATACCTATTTGTAATTTGAATTAAGTAAATAGATTTATAGATTTGAGTTTAATTAAGTTAAAAAAAATTTATAAATTTTATAAAATAACCAAATTTTAAGTTAATGAAAGTAAAAGTTATTCATTAGCTGGCAATTTACAGTCTACTAATAAATATATTAATCAATTTACCACAATAAGCTGTAAACTCCAGAAATGTTTTCAGGGCCAGGATATTTTTCAACTGTGCGACCTAAGGCCCAATTACCCGGAGGAAGGTGATCTTCCTTTATCAGGACTTCTCCAATTTTAAACTCATCCTTTAAAGTTAACCATTTAGGTCTTTGTAAACGTGCTAGATACTCCGCCTTCCATTTATGCCAAAAGTTTTGAAGTATCCTCTTGAGTATGTTGCCATCTGAGCAGTCTGTTTACATTCACCTGCTAAGATCTGGTAGATTGATTGAAGCTTCTCCAATGAGGAAATGGCCATGAGTAAGTACATCTAAATTGTCAATATCATTGTGATCTATTGAACATAGTAGCCGTGATTTTAAGCAGGCTTCAATCTGGCACAGCGTAATTAACATTTCTTCAAAGGTAAGTGTTCTATCAAGTGGTATTTTATGGATTTCACCCCAGCTTCACATAAACCTCCAAAATTTGGGCTATAAGGTAAAGCCGCACGCCCGATAAAGTGCCTATGGGTTCCATCTTCAGCTGAAATGTTGAAATCTTCAGGTACTCCTAATTTTGATTCTTGCTACATTTTAGATAACTCTTATCTGACTCCTACAAAGTTTGTACCTTAATCCCTCCAAAGGTGGGAGCATCTGGCAATAAATCTTCTAAAAAGTCCTTAGAATGACTCGGTGTTTAAATACCCAACCAGCTCTAAGTGAATTGTTTTAGTTGACATGCATATGTACCTATATTGTATCCCTTAGTTCATTTCATGCCTCTTCCTCTGGAAACCTGTAGTGGGCCTGCGAATCTACTCCTGATTGCAAGAATGGACGTGTAGGTGTCACTCGTGCTGCAGGCAAGACTCCCATGAGTTGATGTCATGACAGAGGGTTTCCCCTAATTCTTCTTAGGTACTTCTTCCATATGATTCAATTCAGTATATTCTTGCATCACTAGTGTATTCTGTCTTTAACTTAATGTCTCTCTGTAATCTTCTCTCTAGTTGTGTTGTTAATCTTTTCATTGCTATATTCCTGATATTATCTTCTGTACTTGGTATAATATCTGATTTAAAAGGTAATTTCTCTCATTGACTCTCCTAACATTTTGAGAATACAGTGTTCTCAGAGAGTTCCTCTTCTTGTATAATTTTCTTTGATTATCACTCCCATAAGTTTATTTTTTTTACTGCCCATGTAGGCAGACGAGCACACGGCCCACCTGATGGTGAGTGGTTACCGTCACCCATGGACTTCAGCAATGCCAGGGCCAGAGCCAAGCCGCTGCCTATCAGTTGCCTATAAGTTGTGTAACATTTCATCAAAATCTATATGGTGGTACATAACAGTCATCTTTTTTCCTTCAATTTCATTGTGTATAATTTCAAAAAGAATCCACCACAAACTTGGATGTGGTGCGCATGGGGAGTCAGGAGGACCTCGAATAATTTGATTTTTTAGAATGACTGCATATACTTCTACACCTAGTAGCATATCAACTCGCCCTGGTTAATTGAAGGAAGGAACCTGCCAGCTTGAGACCTTTCAGATATGACCAGGTGAGTGTGGAGGCAGTAAGAGTTGTGGATGGCATGTATGTTATTAAACATAAAGGCATCAAATATGCTTCTACGTTGAGCTACATTCGTAACTATATGACATCGAATCAACATTTAAACACTGATAGTCAGCAATTATAGTATAAATTCTTGTTGTTCACAAAACCAATTCGTTCGTCTGGTAATAGTTTAATAAATACTTCACAATGACAAAGGGTATAATTTTCTTTACATTAAATGTAGTTTTTTTGTGTGTTTAAAAATTTGGAATGTTTTTTGTTTAACAGATTTCAATTATTTTGTTTGAGGTGTGCATGTTACTAATTCCATTGTTCTAAGTTTACAATCTACAAAGTTTTTTATCTGTTGCCAAGTAGGTAGGTCTTCACTATTTCTATGAGAACTATACTCTTCCCACGCTTGATTTGTTTCAGGATCCAGTCGTTACACAATGATGTAGATGACAATTAAATCCCATGACTCAACAGGTAACTTAAGGTTTTCTAGACTGCTCAGGCATTCAGTTGTAGTATCTAATAATATTTTTAGTTGAATGGCATTAGGTGTGCTTATTTTTGGTTAGGTATCATAATTGGTTTCAGTCACAGATATTTGCTTGAGTAGGGCAGTCGCTTCATCAGCAACACTTGACTATAATTAGTGTAAATTTTGAATTTTAGTTAATGAACCATTGTGACGAACGAGTGAAGTAAATATGTCGTAGGTTGGCCAATCATCGTAATGTCCAGTAAATGTGGGTAATTGTATGCGGGGTAATTTAATATTCAAATCTTGTTTTGTAATTTGTGTGGTGGTGGTATCTGTAGTTTGTATGAAGCTTGACAAAATATCCTTCAAATCTGATGTTATATCCATATATAATTCGTCAATGTCGCTGTACACATGTAAAGAAAAACCTACATTATTTAAACAAGTCTTATACCGGTCACTCACATTCGCACGAATACGCAAACCCACGAGTGTAGGACGACATTTGCAAATGATTATGCAAAGTTTTCGCTGCGTTCGTGGTTTTCCAAGCTGTGTCGGTTTTTTAACGGATATCAAAGCGCGCGAACCGCGATCATTCGTGTAGTCTCACACACATTCGTGCGGCCAGTTGCGCCCACGATTGCGAAGGTAACGGACGTTTCGCCAATTTCATAGTAAGTGACGTCTACTGTGTAGCGTACCTTTATCGTGGATTGGAACAACACCAAGGTGATGGAATTCATTGAACTCCTGCAAAATGAATCGACCATATGGGACCCTCAAAAGAAATCCCATAACAACAGAATGGCCGTTAATGACGCCTAGGAAAGAACTAAAAACTCTTTTTCTCTTCAATGTTCTATTGACGAACTAAAAAAGAAGAGAAATTCGTGAGACATTCGTAAGCAAGTGTAGGAGGAAGCGCAAACGGGTTCGCAAATTGAGTACCGAACCCATTTGCACAGCCGCTAAGTTTGCGAATGAGTGGCCGGCATTAGGTAGTTTTTAAAAAGAGTTTTTCTTCTGTGTTATGGAATGAAGTCTGTCATTCAGTAAAAAAGAAAATTTAGATTTATTAAATGTATTAAATACTAGCTTATAACGGAACGAAATTTCCGAACGTGTGATACCGCCCCCGCCGCCGCCTTACCCCCCGCTGAGACAGAGCTCTCTGAGCGCGAAAACACACGCTCTCAGCGCGCGCGACGATGACCAGTAAAACATTGCGAGTCTTAGTTTAACTGTACGGTTCTCAACTCATTTTGTATTTTATGTTAGTTATTGTGTCGCTTTTTATATTAAAACCTCATACCAAATCAGCGTAAACATTATTTCTATATCATCTTCGCCAACAGCCCGGAACAACGAACTCACAAAAACTCACAAAAGGCCCGCCAATCGGACTTGTAGTGTTTAAAAATTTACATTATTATTTCTCACCCCTACAAAGATTCTCTTCATTAACGCAACCGGTGTAGGGAGTCCAACGCTCATATAAATATTACCCTATCCATTAAGTACACGTACTTTCTACATGGATACCAAGTTTCAAGTCCATCGGATGCATGGTTCAGTAGTTATAACAGAACATCCGTAAAAACCGCTGTAGATTTATATATTAGTATAGATATTATAAAGAAAAACCTTTATACCTTTATTATTTAAATCTGTTTAGTCTTCAAAAAGCATTTTTCTTCAGTGTCATGGAGTGAAGTCCGTCATTGAGTAAAACAAGANCCTCACTGTCTACTAATTCTACATGAACAGGGTCCACGGATTGAGTGCTGGGCGTGCACTGGGTTTGCAATGTATCGGCCAGCAGCTCTGCTTTTTCGTCATCATCGAACGCCGCGAGTCGACCTGAGGGGCCTACGAGGGGGGGCATAGTTACTACCGTATCCGATTTGAGAGTACGAGCTAAGCGGTAGTAAGACCTCTGGGAGGGCGCGAGCCCTTCTAAGAAATCAGACCATCTGGCATCTCGGACTTCGGCGATGCAAGACTTTACGTCGCGTTGTAGGGCACGCATTCGAATTCGATTTTCCGCGGTACGATACCTGTCGTAGGCGCGTATCGAGGCGTTCTTAGCTCTAAGGAGTTCCCTAATATCGTCGGACAATTTGAAGCGGTGAAGGAAGTCCTCCGCTACAACTTGTTCCGATGACCTATCTAATGTCGAGGTGATGTGTGACGTTAAGATGTCTATGGCTTCAGCGGTATCCTGAGGAGACGGGGTAGAGTCCGGGTTAAACGGGAGCGATGGTGGATCAGATTCAGCCAGGCTGATGCCCAGCGTGTACCAATCCACCACAGTCCTCGTGACGGGAACGGAATCGGGAGCGCAATTAGCCATTTTGTGATGGTTATAGCGACTACAACTTCTTTTATACAAACAAGTGTAATTACTGCGAAACAATTCACAAAACATAGCTTAATATTCAAAATACATATTTTAGTGATTTTACATGACTCACATTTAATTTATTTTACAGGAATTACTTTTATGTAATATTAACTAACATTGTTATTATCCAGCCTAATAATAGATGGCGCCAACAACATCATTGCGTAACAATTACAATACTTAATTAAATTATTAGTACTGTTAATAATAATTTATATTATAAAATTATTATTAATATTTATGCTTTATTCATATTTCATCATTTATACAGTCATTTGTGTTTATAAACAATAATATAAATATTAAACATATTCTGAACATTTTCACATCAAAACAGTGTCTGCTAATTATTAAATATGGTAGAATAACAGTTTTGTTGCTAATAATAAATGAATATTCACATAGAATAAACTAAACTTTATATTATTATGTTAATTATTGCCAACAGTGGCGTTTGCGCCCTTATACTCCATATCAGTAAAAAACAACATTTTTTGTTACATTTTACATTAAATGGAAAAACTAAGGTTTGAATTGATGGTCAGCGGAAGATGGAAGATCAAACAATTAAAATTCAGATGAAAATATGAAGATTGAAAAACAAAAATAATAATTAATCATAGCTATTTTCCTAAAACTCGAAATTTCTGAACCTAGTACGGTGACAGAAACAGAAAGTTTTTGAGAAGGAACCTGAAGTATTAAAGAAAGAACTTGATTTTACGGACAATTGTGAGATTAATTTTAATGAACACTTAAACTCGAAAGAATTTAAAGATTTTTTATCACTGCGAATAAAGACCTCTTTGTCATAGTGTCGCAATTCTAAGAAGTATCCCTGCAACCTTCCACAAGTATTAAGGCACTTGGGGTCGACATTTCAAGCGATTTCAAAGTCATTTAGAGGGCAAAGCCAAGCTGGAGTCCAAGATGCTAGGAGTCATCTACAGAGCAAAGCGGTACTTCACGCCTGGACAAAGACTTTTTTTGCTTTATAAAGCACAAGTCCGACGATAATCGATAATTCTATTGTCGATAGCCCCATTCTCAGGAATCGTTGGGAACCTCTGGGTCTGCGGAAGGACTTCGGTTCCCTCTGTATTTTGTACCCTATGTTCCATGGAGAGTGCTCTAAAGAATTGTTTGAAATGATACCGTCATCTCGTTTTTATCATCACATCGCCTGCCACCGCAGTAGAGTTCAGTCATGTTACCTGGAGCCCCTGCCTTCAGCCACTGTGCGTTTCCAGAGATCTTTATGCCACGTACCAACCGGCTTTGGAACGAGCTCCCCTCCACGGTGTTTCCCGAGCGCTACGACATGTCCTTCTTCAAACGAGACTTGTGGAGAGTATTAAGCGGCAGCGACTTGGTTCTGCCCCCGGCATTGTTGAAATCCATGGGCGACGGTAACCATTCACCATCAGGTGGGCCATACATTCGTCGGCCTACAAGGGCAATAAAAAAATAAAAGTTGGGAACCTACTTATAACGGAGGACCAAGTGGTCGATTCAAACTTGCGATTACAACAAAATAACATAAACCAGTTTAGTTACAGTCATCACTCGATAAAAATACACAGATATATTTATATTATACTTCACAGATACTACACGGTCAATAAAAATCTACTACATGTCTAAAGGGGAATGCCCACTCTCCATAGTGTGCTGGGCCCAAGATGGACATCAAATATTACTATAAAAATGGACTGTTTCAAATTCTTAAATGTATTGGATATCTAAAAAATATATTGAAATTGACGCCACTATTATAAAAATTAAATAAAAATAAAAAATAGTTTTGAGATTAATTTTCTATATAAGTAAATAAGTGTCGGATTGTGAGATACTTAAAAAACTTTTCTTTTCTTAATGTTTAATTTATTAATTATGATAAGAGAGATGTTTCTAAGGTATTTTTATCCAATGTATGGTTTTGAATCTCGGTCAGGTTAAAACTACAATTCATACAATGTTTTTCAGTCGTAGTATGAAACGTTATTGATCGGTATCCGTAATCGAATGTAGCTGTGATCTTTAACTCCAGAGCCAAAGTCGTCATTTAAGGGAGGATAACAGAGTCAGTAAAACAAATCGAAGAAAAATCAAAACACATCCATTTTGAATGTAAGCGCAAGCAGTAAGCGAAGTGTCAGTCAGTCAGATTAAATTCAGTGTTGTCAGTATAACGAAAAATAATTACATTAAATTGATATATCGATTATTTTTTTAAATAACCGATAGGTGATTTATTTTTCTTAATCTATTTTTTACGAGTACACATTCTTTTTTATGTTTTTGTTTTAGTTGTACATATTTAAATAACAATACTAGTAAAGTTTTTTTTATTGCTTATATGGGTGAACGAGCTCACAGCCAACCTGGTGTTGAGTGGTTACTGGAGCCCATAGACATCTACAACGTAAATGCGCCATCCACCTTGAGATATAAGTTCTAAGGTCTCAAGTATAGTTACAGGTTAAAGTCCAATGGGTATGTCTTTAATGTTATTTTATGTGCTTTTAATTGATTAAAATCGATTTATTAACTCATTAATATAATATAAAACATATAAATAAAACATTTTAAGTATTCTCTAATACTGAAAATGTTTTATTTATATACTTCAAATGTTTACTTAATACGTAATAGGTTTTGTGCTGGCAATATTTTTCCCGCAAAAATCAAAAACCTTGTTTTTTCAATAGAGTTACTTTTTTTAAACTACTTATTGTAAACTGTAGTGGCACTGATTTGGAAGAAAGTAAATGCATATTTATTTATGACAAAATTAATGCACTAAGTATTTTGACTCTAATCTATTGTCCGCTTTGGGCCTGAAATGGGCATTCCCCTTTACGTAAACATCTACATTAACAACAAAATAAATCAATTTGCATGTCTTCATTGTACACGTTCTCGCCAAGCTGTGTGGCTTCCTCGACGCTCCGCTCGTAGGGAAGCGGAGACACCTCCCTACTAATATTGTTGTTACTCGCGAAAATATCTTCCTTAATTAGTGGTGAGATTGTGAAATATAATAATTGATTGGAAATCGATCCACGTGCGTCGCGGCCGCCGGTCATCAATCACATTATCTCTCGAGGACGAGACGCCCGCGGCGTGCCCGCGCCCACTAGAGCCGTGCTCGCTAAATGTCGCTGTGACGACGTGACGGAGTGACGGTGTGACGGTGTCGCGCGGCTGCCGGCGCCGCTCCTTATGTGAAGGGTGCGAAAATTAGTGAGTCGACACCTGACGCTCGGACCAGCTCGTGCTATTCGATCCGACGACGAGCCCGGAGTCTTCTGCTGCAGCGGCGCCATGACCCAGTGCCACGACATGGGATCCGCACCGAGCGTCGCGCTGCGTGAGTATTGTTCCTAGCTATTTACTGCATCATTCTGTGACCATCAATGAGCAGGCGCACGTCGTAGATCTTCGAATGTGATCTTAAACGACTGAAGTTTGTTTTCTGGATATTTGTTCGATCAATAAAAACGCGTTATAAATAATAAAATTACAATAGTTATTCAGAAAACATAAGAAGAGGCTAATAATAATGAATGCAACCGCATTATACGAGTAGGTAGGTACGTATAACCCGACCGCTGTATCCACTCCTCCCTGTTGAGTCCCTTTCTTGAATCTGTTTGACGGACTGCCGCGTGCCGCGTGCCAATGCTAAACAAAATGCGAGGCAACTATTGTCAGACGTTTCTGTTTTGTTGATAATGGACATATTATTAAAATTTTAAAATATAATAACAACCGGGGAACATATTTTCTGAACAATACTATCATTTTAGTTGGGCAAATTAAACGTCCTAGCTTCTTAATTGACGGCGAAGTGCAATGTGATGGCCATCGGCGACTGCAGTAACATTCGGTGCTTCGTATTCTTATATTTATCACAAATATGGACTATGGCCTTCATATGGACTTTTTTAGATTTAAATTAAGATGACGCTCGTACTATTCTGATGTTAAAATGATAGTCATTTTAATATTAAATTGCATGAAAGAGGAGATGTAAACAGTAAATTAATCCTTCATCAAACATTAAAAATAAATTACGACTACCAGTTGATAAACAACCGCCATGCAGCGTACCGACCGGCTTAAATGATAACGCTTTGATTCCGCGTCTTACGCCAGATATAAGATGTTGTGATTACACACGCTTAGATATATCTACGATTATGTGATAACTCAATCACGAGCATATTTTTGAGACAAACAACAAAGTAGCTAACCACCTTTCAAATTCCGCGCGATGAGAATCAATCACTGCCGTCTAGAAGATCGTTTTTAATTTTTTGCTTAGATGTTTGGACAAGCTTACGGCCCGCCTGGTGTTAAGTGAATACCGAAGCCCATAGACATCTACAACGTAAATGTAGCCACCCACCTAGAGACATAGTTCTAAGGTCTCAGTTTTTAGAGTACAATGGCTACCCTACCTTCAAACCGAAACGTATTACTGCTTCACGACAGAAATAGACAAGGTGGTGGTACCTACCCGTGCGGTCATACAGACGCCCTACCACCACTATGTAAAAATAAGCGACCCCATAACAGTGGTTGGAGCCGAGCCGAGCCCAGTGGATAGGACGCGAGGACCGCACTGTCATCTTCGTAAATATGTACCAACTCCGCTGTCGCAGATACCGCTCCTAATGGGTATTACGCTACACTAACAATAAAACATTGCGTTATCATTTCATTTTAATATAAAAGCTGAATAAACAGTAACAGAATAACAGCAAACAACAAACTGCACATTAAGGCATGTTATAAACATTATGGGCGCTACAACGTGTCCTTCTTCAAGTGTGGTCCAGAGTGTGGCCGATGTGCATGGGCATCAGAAAACACTTTCCATCCAATGAGTAGCATGATCGATAAACAAATCATCTTTAGTATTTTTATTAACTAATACTAAACATTAGTTTCTATGACGTGTTAGTACAGTACGTTCCTAAACGGTTTTAGGACCATGTCCGACGCTGACCATGGCTGACCTCCACCCTCCAACTAGAGTCCGCTACCAAATAGCTTAGCTGTGTTCCTACGTGTGGGTTGGAGAGCTAGTTCTATTCCTGCCCTTTTCTCTTTCTTGTTGGGGGCGAATCTTGGTGATACCTGGGACATGCGGAGCAAAAGTGCGTGCAAGCTGGCTTCGGTCATCGTTCTCGTCGAATCCGTCGCTTGTGACGAAGGGCTCGACGAGCAAATTACCCAACAGACACAGCCCACTGAGTTTCTCGTCGGATCTTCTCAGTGGGTCGCGTTTCCGATCCGGTGGTAGATTCTGCGAAGTACAGCTCTTGCTAGAGTTCGGGTTAGCAACGTCGTCAGGTTTCAGCCCCGCGAGGTCACCTACTAGTTAAGGGTACGCTGAAATAGCCTCTCAAGGCTCTCAGCTTAGGTAGGAAAAAAAAGCAAGTTGGCGGGACGTGATTGTTTGACAGAGGTATAGAGAGACCCAGTAAAACGCTATCCGCCGCCGCCCGCCGGTCAGTAGAGGACCTGAAACCAGGTGTCACTACTAAACTCCGCCTCAGGAAGCTGTCTCAGCAACCAGTGTAAATTCTGTCGTGCGGTCGTCGTGCCGGAGTTGGAGACCGGAGTGGATCCCGCAAAGTGGACTGGGAGCCCTTCCTTGACCTGCGTCAGTTTTTCACGCAACCCGTGGTCGAGCACACACTGTGTTCCGTGCTTTATTCAGGTGTTGTTATGATTTCACCTCGAACATCCTACCTCACCCAATCCTACTCTCTACAATAAACAAATAAAATATGAAAGTTCGAAAAAGGAAAAGGGTTTTATCTAAGATTCCCCATTCCACATTTAATGTGGATTTCAGCAATGTTGGGAGCTTAAATAGTAACCTTAACGCTGTATACCACTACCTTGCGACAGCGCAGCCTACCCTACTTTTTCTGACGGAGGCGTAGATAGCTGCTCCGGATGATACGTCGTACCTTGGATACACTGGCTACGTATTGGAGCACAACTTCCTGCGTAAAGCCGGGGTGTACGTATTCTTCCGGGCTGATGTCTGTTGTCGCCTTCTTCGGGGCCTCGAACAATGGGACCTGTCTCCCTCTTGTGGCTGCGCATAGATCATGGGAGCTATACCCGAATCTATGGCTGCCTGTACAGGTCCCACAGCAGTGATCCTTGGAGACTTTAACGCTCACCACCAAGAATAGTTGGGGTCAAGGACCACTGACCTCTCGCCTTAGCCTACGGCTTCTTCCAGCTGGTGACACAGCCCACCCGTGTCCCAGATATCGAGGGGCACGAGCCTTCTCTATTTTACCTTCTGCTGACCACCGATCCAGTCGGATACAGTCTTGTGGTCGACTTATTATTATTATTATTATTATCCATCAATGTAATGAAATAAAACCCTGGTGGTTTCATTGAATATTGGAATATACCGTTGTAAACAAAAACTAATATTTTAAATCTGAGAAGGCGCTGAGAAGTGACCTCACAGTACATTAACGCGCACCGAACGTTTGTTTAGTTATTCCGAATGTTGTAAGATCTTTGTTCAACAAATATTGACGGTCTGTTAATTGTGACGCGCTCCGACGGCGCGGCGGCCGTGCGGTTGTTTTAAAAAATCATCGAAATGACTGTGAGTTAAAATAATCTACGCGCGACACTTGCTTACGTCAAGTTTTCACACACAAACAAGGACAGCAAGTGTTACGTCTGAAATCCACAGAACTAAAAATGCGGCGTAATATCTGGTTATACGGTGTGCTGTAAGTCCTCACGACCTCCTCGCCCCCAAGTGGACTCCACGACGGAAAAGACCCACGGGCGGACACGGGGTGACAACTGGACATCTAGACTCGACATCTAGAAGTGGAGGGGGTCGGATTACATCTTACCATTCGTTCTGAGAGACGCATACGACTGGGTTGGTCGGCATTTGGGAAATTCCGTGCAATCCTCACCTCGCAAATTCCTCAATGCCTGAAGACAAAAGTCTTTAACCAGTGCATTCTCCCCGCGATGACCTACGGCGCGGAAACCTGGACACTGACGGCAGGGCTGGCCCATACGTTAAGAGTCGCACAGCGGGCGATGGAGAGAGCTATGCTCGGTATTTCTCTAAGGGACAAAATCCGGAACGAAGAAATTCGACGGAGAACCAAAGTCAACGACATAGCTCTCAAAGTTAGGAGGCTGAAGTGGCAATGGGCCGGTCACATCTGTCAAGCCAGCGACGCCAGGTGGGGGAGGAAAGTCCTCAAATGGAGGCCACGGATGGGTACAAGGAGCGTGGGGCGTCCTCCAACCAAGTGGACTGACGACTTAGTGCGCACGGCGGGAAGTCTTTGGATGCGGAAGGCGGAGGACCGCATTATGTGGAAGGCATTGGGGAAGGCCTATGTCCAGCAGTGGGCAGATAAAGGCTGATGATGATGATGATGATGATGATGATGATGATGATGATGATGATTCGTTCTAAAGATGTTCGCCACTAACTTGACGTATCAGTATGTACCGAAAAGGATTCATTTTCGTGGAAGACCGCCCATGTCCACCGTATATCCGACAAGATTGACTACAGGCACACCACAATAACTCGCTTGCGTTCCAAGGTAATCGATGCGCAGCTGCTCCGGTAGCTGGAAATCGCCAGCTTGCCAGACGTTCATGGTGACCTTGTTATGTAACCTTTTCACCGACAGGCTGTGGCTTTGTAGAAATCCTTGTAAACTTTGGTGTGACGAATGTCTTCGACTGCACCTGGCATATGGCAATACTGTCGAAGCAACTAAAATATGGAATCTTTTTTTTCCTACCTATTCTAGTAACCTCGAGGGGTTATTCTAGCATTTAGGTGAGCTCAAACCTGACGTCGTTGCTAACACGAACTCTAGCGAGAGCCATGCTTCGCAGAAACTACCACCGGATCGGAAACGCGACCCACTGAGAAGATCCGACGAGAAACTCAGTGGGCTGTGTCTGTTGGGTAATTTGCTCGTCGAGCCCTTCGTGGCAAGCGACCTGTTCGACTAGAACGGTGACCGGTGCTTGAGGTACCTAAAAGCACCGTTAGTGGATCGGGAGGATCTGAAATGACGTATTTTGGGCGACGTCGACTGCTTTCCATTCGGTCCGCAGGATCGGAAATGTAGTTACCGGCGGCCACGATGAGAGCAGCGGGTTCTCGTGTCATGCCGCTTTCTCGAAATGGCATTGATGCCGACTGTAGATACTTAATGATGGACTCTAGGTCCAGGTCATCATGCAAGTCGATGTTCCTGACGAACCACGGGGCTCCGACCGCTATCCTGCAGAAACGGGATTGAATTATTTGAAGGGGTTTTATTACCACGT